GAAGCAACTGCCATGTGATTGGTTGATTAGATAACTGCATTAATGAGAAATTGAACAGGTGTTCCTAATAATCCTTTAGGTGAGTGTATATATTACAGTTTAACAGAGGTGGATAGTTCAGGTCCAGAAAATAAAAATCCATACCAAGATTTTGTTTCAACCAACCAGTATAATACCAGTAAAACAAACCAGTATAATGTGAGTCTTTATAGTCAGCTGGTCTGGATCTTTACTTTCTGGACCTGAACTATCCACCTCTGCATTTTAAAATAATCAATTACACTTTCGCATAGCAGCTAATAGCAGATACAGTCCTGGCTATTTGGGCCTGAAAGAGATCATATTACATATATACTAAAACAAAAACATTGCATCAAAATTGTACCATGTTACTACTGGTTGTCAACATGAATTTTTTTCCACCTAAAAAATGTACTGTAACTTCAAAACAGGTCTGACACAAAGAAACTTTTCAAATGCGCCTTTTGTTGATTAGGAAATCTTTGTTAAGTGTGTGAATCATATGTAATTTCTGCCCACTGTTGCCTACCTTTTGTCAGTCATATGATATTTATGTCTTTTATGGTCTTTCCTCTTTTTCGTATTAATCCATTTTTAAATGACAGAGTAAAGTGTTTTCAGGCCAGGTGTGCGTGCATATATTTTAAAATATGCTTTTATATTAATAACTAAATTATGAATGTACTTTAAGTGGAGAAAAAGCTTTGGTTTAAGCAAGGATTTATTTATTTAATTGTCCAATATGCTTTATGCGCTCTTGTCATGTAATCAAATGCATATTTGCAAACTTCCCTGTAGAAAATAGACATGATTGTAGTCTAGGAAAATTTCAGAAACTGCACTTGATTCTGAACCAACACCCCCCTACAGTGGGGTAGAAAAAAAAAGCAAAACTGGTAAGCAGAGAGAACAGTGACAATTATCTGGAATATGGATTCATGTTCCTGTTGATTAACATGCCCTGGGATAATTACCGGTAACCCTTTACTTGAGGGAATTTAGTGACTCAGTTACTACTCAAGTTACTACTACACAAATCATGAACAAATATAGTGACTGCATGAAATACATGAACCGTTATGATTGATTAATGATTAACAAATAAGGGATCAGCACATAAATAACACTTAGTTTCTGGTTAATTAATGCATTAACTAAGAGTGTACTGCTACATAATTTTTCCCCCCTCAATTAAAGTGTTACCTAATTACCCTGTGAGAAGTGCACCATGGCAGCAACGAGGTTGGGAAACACTGTTATAGGTAAAAGTGAAATGCTATCCAGGAGATTTATGAAGCATCCATGCTCTGGTGTTCCACATGACAGCAATCAAATCATGTAGCATTCCTGTTTCTTACTCTAAAAAGTGTATATTCCCACACCAACACACATATGGGGTTAAACGTGCCATGGTCATTACAGTGGATTCCCCCTGGGTGCACCTGACCTTGAGCGCCATCCCTAATGGCATAATGACTGTTCCCACTGACTGATGGGTGATTATTACTCCTGAGAGTAGCCAGCTGATGGGCTTGATTATCCGGCCACTTGCTGACAGATACCTGGCTGAGCTGGAAGAACGGCATTTCAGCTCTGCTTGGCCGCTTTGGTGATCCCTGGAGAATTTTGCTACTGAACAACAGCTACTGAACAAACCCTGATGATGTCCTGTTCAGGTGGAGGAGCCAGGGAAATCCTAGCTGAATCTGACATAGTTGTAATGTATCACAAATAATAGTAATAATAATAATAGTAAACATAACAGTGTAGTAAATGTAATTTTTCATGTTTCAATATGAAATTGTAAAATATGATCTGGCACTGTTTTTCTATATCAGATGCGACAGAGATTACACCACTTCCTTATCTGCACAGTATCCAGTGCACTTGACCGCTGCTCCAAATGAATGCTGCCATTGTACACTCAGTCCAGCTGCCCCTCCGGAGCACGGATACGTAAGTCACATGACACCGGATCAGTTATCCAGGCCTCTCCCATCGCTCTCTGCTCCATTGGCAGTGGTAAAGATCACAAATTTCAGGAAAGTTAAGAAATGCTTGCTTAAAACTACAGATAGCACAATATAATTTTTCTGCTCTGATCCCAATAATAAAATTTTGAGTATCTGTCGATACCAATCTGATACTTTTGCCCCTTTATCAACCACTAAGCATTAAATGAGATATTTATATAAACAAATTTCAGTTAACATGGCAAACTATCTGCACTTAGTGTTGTAGCAGCATTGTTTGAGTTTGCTACGAATAAGAAAATATTAAGCCATTTGACTCAAACAAAAGCCATGCCACTACACTACAGGATGAAGAAGTCTGCTTTTTTGTTATATTCAGTAACAGCTTTAGCAAAAATGAACAGTAATATTCCTTAAAGTGCTAATTGTGCAGTCAGTTGTCAAATTAAATATAATAAAAGGAATCAATCATAAAAATAGCAGTGTAAACCCCAACTAACCATTTCTAGTCAAAAAGTACACACAAGTCTCCGTTAAAAAAGATTTGTCACAATGGAGCACAGATAAAACTTTTTAGTAAGTAAGCAAACTTTTGACAGAATACAAGTCTAAAGACGTCACATATTAACACCAGCCTTACATACATTGCACCCTGCTGTCTTGCTTTTTGTCTTCCTTCAGCGTAAAGTGCAGTAACTGTATTCCCACACAGCCGACATGACAGCTCTGACGCACATGCACTGCTGAACATCTAGCCATCACATGATCCTCAGTTCTGTTTACAGTATGCTGCGCTAACTCTTCCAGAATTTTTGGGCTATACCTATCTCTGACCTAAAATTGGATCAGTTTCATACCCCCCACTTCCTGATATCCAATCCAGAATCGGCCCGAGTGGGTATCAGATTGGTGCCCTCTCTACTTAAAACTACTCTTGAGGCGGTAAACTCAAAGCTCTTTTCTTAAATCCCCTGAAACATCATGAAGAATTTATATTCTGTGTCCAGCTGTAAGGTGATTATACTGTCAATTTCCTCCAAGATGAACAAGTACCATATCCTTGGGCAACACCTCAACCACCTCAACTCCTTAACAGCAGTTTATCTAGCACATTTGTGGTATCATATACTGTCATTAAGAGACTTTAATTTTGTTCAGCCTCAGAGAACATTCCCAGGCCAGTGAGGGTGAGCACATGTGTAACATCTCTATAACTAACACCAGAAGATGCCAGTCTTCAAAGGGAATGATCTGGGAACAAAAAACGGATTATTACGCAAACTAACCTATGAGGTACTATCTGCCTATATTTAGCCCAAAGTATCTGTTACATAAATAAATAAACGTAAATATAACCCGCTACTCATAATAGGTCAGGTTTCTTTTAGTTCTCACCTATCTGGTCATCAGGTGGTTCAGTGGTTAAAGAGCCTACCTGAGAACAGAAGGGTTCCTGGTTGATCTTCCACTGTTGCTCTGCTCTAGCACCAGCTATACACCTTGTGGCTGCCTCAGTATTAATTTACTTATTCTTCTCTGTGTGATAAAGGTAGCTATGAGCTTCCTTGCGCTTGAGTCTGCAGCTTCTAACCGAGTCTGCGCGTATTTGTTTATTTTGTGGGGAAACCTGTCCTGTGAAATAGGCCACGGTGGAGCGCCACCTGCTGGGCGGGAGCATCGGAGATGATGCTGGCTCTGCTGCTGGCCAGGCTGTCAATGCTGACGGCGCTGCAGACGACGGACACCTCGCCCCTGGCTGTCACATCCACTTTCGGCAAGGGGGTCGCTGGGGTTTGTTGCGTAGTGCCAAAGTGGCTTTGACCATGCTAGCGGGGGGAGGGAGAACATTGAGAGGAGGGTGACCTCCAACTATCCCACACACAAAGTAAATAAACAAAACTAAACAAACTATTTATGCTTTATTTCACGAGCTGGGAGCCCCTATTCTATAGGATTACTAAAAGTAGGTAATTTTCCCACATTGGCTCTCCACAGAAACAGCACTTTTTAAAATAAACTCCACAATCTTCCATGAAAACAAAATTGAACACAACAACAAAAGAACATCAGAGTGTTACGGTCCAAATCCTTTGACTGTGCAACACTTGATCATGACCCTTTTTTAAATAACTTGTTTGAAAAACAGATGGATAGATTATCAATGTGGCATTAAATGTCAATAAACAAATCCATCTTCCAAGCACTTACTCAGTACAGGGTTCTGGGATCAATTAGTTCATTACAGGTGCTTACATACCTCTTGATTGGTTTTTAGGACCAACTTTAGCATTCTCTCAGTGATGAAAAGTAGATAGAATCCTCCAAATATGCCAATGGCTTTGAGAATGTAGTCATCAGCTTTGGGGTCAAACCCTAGGGCCTGTTAGGTTAAAGGTAAAGTGCCTGTTAGCATTTTAATAATAAAACCAACCTTTGAAGATTATAATCGATTGATCTACAATATCTTTCTACTTAAGCAATTTCTGTTTATTCTTATAAAAAATAATAATCATGCACATGCAAGCAATATCCTGAGACAAAGCTGGGACACAATGAATCATGGGATTGTTCTCATTACGGGGGATGCAACTGATGCATCCTTGATATTTTGGCCAGGTAAGAATGACGTCCGGGGATTTTTACCGTCTTTCATACTTCTGATCTTGAATATTGGAACTGTACTTCAGCAATGGAAGATGATGCCAAACAGGTACGCGACAACACAAGAAGGGTTAAGTACGCATATGGATAAATACCCCCAGTCTTATTTTACTTAAAAGAATGACAATTTGTTGGCATTCTCCCCAGGTTCCTTTCACTATCAGCCATTTTTGGAGACTGCCGCATGACATTCTGCTTCTGTATAGGATGGAATATAAAGAGCACATTGTCTGTCCCCAGCCATTGCCCTGTCTTCTGGCACCTCAGGGATGAGCTGCAGCACTGCATTGGAGAACAGCGTCCCGATGGCCAGGCCCATGAAGTAGGTGAGCAGCTTAGGGAAGCAGGGCTTTGCGGTGAAGGGGGTGAGCAATAAGCCCATCAGGGAGGACAGGTTGATGACAGTCACTGCCAGGAAAGCATAGCCCCACACTGCGGATAGGAGAAGATGCAGAAAGGAGCCACAGTGAGTCCCAGCAGCTCAGAAACCAGGCCAGGCTCTGCAGCTCCATGGTGGTAACCAGTAGAAAACGGCATATTCCTTATAAAGCTCATTTGTCTCATGGTAAAATCAAGGATTCTTGGAATAGTTATCCAGCTGGTGGTCCGTAACTGAGACCCAAAATTTCATTTATTTATTTGTTTGTTTGTTTGCAGTTTGTTAAAATTATAATTTGCAGAATATAGCATTTATTTACAAATGTTTAAACAAGTAATTAATTTTCTTCTTTTTTTGGCAAAAATAAGCAAATCTGTTTCAGCTGAGATGATTCTGTCCTGCTCTCACAGCTCATTGGTCACCAGTATCGACTGGCCAGCCTGCATTCCAGGAAGTCACTGTGAATCCCAGGAAGTCACCGTGAATCCCAGGAAGTCACTGTGAATCCCAGAGCATGCATACAACGCTAAAGTTAAACTCTAGTTATCAGGAAAGAGAAGAGAAAGCTCCATGTATTTATTAATGCTAGTGTTTGTCCTTACTGCATCTGCAAAGTGATGAAAATGAATTGGTTGCTTCTAATTCTATATCTAACGTTAACATTATGGCAGCTGCACAGTGCTGAACTGCTCTGGGTTGGAGGCCCAGTATGGCAGGATGACACGAAGTATCAGTTTGTAAACATCCCAGTGAATAAAGCACATTGTCCAAATTCCAATAACAGACAGATACTTGCAGTGAAATCTTAATGGTCATAAATAAAATAGTACAACATGTAAAGTATTGTACTACCATCAGTTTTACGAAATGCACCTGATAAACTTTTAGCATTTCATCCTGTCCTAGAATACTTGGAAAGTCTTTATATGCTATCAGTAGGGGTCGGTCCTGCACAACATTACATCATCTGATAAGAGTATGACTTCTGGCAACTACTGGAAAAGGCAACCACACGACTCATAGCATTTTCTCAATGACCTAGTACTGGTCAAAACTGCTTATCTTTGTGTTCATTGTTTTTGTTCGTGTCTGACATTGTATTAATTATACTCAGATATCTGCCTTCCACAGTGATAAAAACAGTACCTAATGCACGCATAACAATATGTCTTACCCTGTCTTGCTGTGAGTCTTATTTTCCCAACAGACAGGAATTTTTTTAATAAAACAAAAACATGCTGATTATGCACCTATTACTCAAGGCTTAATAGGGCCCTATTAGAACATTTATGTTTTATTATTTATGTGTTCAGCCCTTTTTTTGTATAATATATACAGCGAATATATTTGCTAGCAAATGGTCTATAGAGAATGCATACAAGTAGGCCTAACTATCCAAGTAATAGAAAGTAGTAAGGAATAGAACTGGAGAAAGGTGTTGATTGTGCTTCACAAAGAGCATTAGATATGGAAAATATCAGACCTGTGCAGGGGGCGGCAGCTGGGGGTGCATCAGCACCGGGCTCTTTGGCCTGAATGATTGACAGTACCCCCCCCCCCCTTTCAATGTTAGAAGTACCACTTTTGGATAACCCATAATCACACAAAATCTCCCCCCAACCAACAAAATGTACTAGTCTGCCACAGACCCCAGTTTGAGCACCTGTGCCTTAAGAAGTCTGCGCATGTCACTGGTGAATTTGCCATAAGGTCAAAAAGAAAGCTTGGAATAAAGTGCATAAATCCACTTTATTTATGCACTTGTTAAAGTGCATAAATCCATATACAGTGATCCCCCGCTATATTGCGGTTCAGCTAATCAGCCCCCGCAAAATTCTGCAAAGAAACCACCAAGAGCCCTACCGGGAAGTAGGGCTGCACGATATATAATTTCAGCATCGTCATTGCGATGTAGGCACTTGAGTCACATCGCAGGATGTGCGATGTTAAGTAACGCAAATTAAATTAAGCGGCGTGGACAACGCTTTTGGTGTTTTTGCTGAACTAACAAATGTCACACTGTTCTTATTCTTAAACAATCCACAAAAGTCTGTCTAATATAATTTAGATCAATTTAAAGGTTTTTGGATACGGAGCCGACACGCAACTTTGCACGGGCAGCTAACAAACATGTCGATCACAGAACGAACCGCCAAGCACAAACATTCTAACCATTTAACCCAGCATTATTTTGTCACTCATGTTAACTCTCATATGCGATAAGCTTCCATAGTTGAATGCTCATGCTCTGTTTAGTGCTGATTAAGTTATCATTACCATTATATTTGGGCTAAATCAGGTCAATCTTTCTAGAATGATTAATTATACCAATACAGCAGCGGTCACTAACCGGTGGACTGCGCCGGACCCGGTGTTCCGGGCAATTCGGTTCCCCTATGTTTCCCCTGTCTATCAGGGAATAATGTTTCTCCTAATATTTAGGCAAATATGTATGTGAGATGTCTGAAAATCACTCAGGTACATTATTACATGTGAATACAGTAGATGGTCACGCATAATATAGTCTTATATAAGCAATACTATACCGTTTTCATCAAGAAATATCTCTATCCAGCGAATTAAATACTTTCATTTCTTATCTGTAAAAACAAAAAACATCGAAAAGGCATGTGATGTTTTAAAATATATGGCTTGTTTACCTCAAGGGCTTCTTAAAAATACATAAAAACAACAGCGAAACCGTGTACAAATCAGCGCGCGACAGGGGAAACAGGGAAACTGAATTGCCCGGAACACCTGACCCAGAAGCTGTCCCATACGGACCTGGACCGATAGCCCTTTGTCTGCGCTAATGTGCCATTAGTGTCAGGGCCGTGCAGAGACGTTTAAAGGGGCGGG